GGGGGAGGGGGAGGGGTCGGGCGGGCGCGGGGGGTCGCGGTGTGTGCCCCGCCGCAGCGCTGAGCCCGTCTCCCCGGTGGTTGCCTTGCAGGTGGCGGCGGGGGCCGGCAGCATGTGGCCGAGGCCACCAGCACCAACCAGCAGTGGGACGTGCACAAGGCCCTGGCTGTGGCCGGCGTCTTCTATTTCCTCCACGGGGCCGGCAACGCCTGCGTGGCTCCTTTTCTGAGCCTGTACTGCCGGCAGCTGGGGCTGCCTGCCCCGCTCGTGGGCATCGTCATGGGCATCAAGCACCTCGTGTCGTGCCTCTGGGCCCCGCTCGCCTCCTACCTGGCCAAGAGCCGCGGCAAGAGGAAGGTGCTCATCACTGCCTCCCTGCTGGGCTCCGTTGGGGCTGGTTTGCTGCTCACGCTCGTCCCACCTCTGAGCAGGGAGGCTCTGTACAGGTACTGCAACATCAGCCACTCATCGCCTGGCGCCACCGCCGACGTGGGCACAAGCAATGCGAGCAGCAATGCTGTGGCCATGGGGAACGGGGTCCAGCCCGCTGTAAGTAAGGCAGCCTTCCAACAGTCGATTGGTTTTACTGATCTGCTCGAAGAGAAAGACGGAGGAGTTGGTAAAGACGATAAAACTGCAGATCCCCACATGGGTGGTGCCTCCGGCGTGATGGCGTCTGTACAGTTGAAACAGGTGGCACAAGAGCTTGATACGCCCCCTTCTAATGAAAGACAGTTTAACCAACCTGAACAAGAAACAAGCAGCCCAGGCTCTCGGGTTCTGAAGGTGAATGATAATCCTGATGAAAACTTTCCTATGAGTGGAAGTAGTGAGCTTTCTCTGTTTCAAACAAACCCTCGCCCTGTTGTTGGGACTTCTTATGTTTTTGAAAATCTCTCAGGACGCTGGGAAGAAGCTCAGGATGTCAACTTGGAGCTCCTGCCAATTAGTAACTTCCTTGACAGGGAGCACCAGGTTTTTCTCATGGTGCTGGGTGCTGTTGTGTTTTGGGAGCTGCTGGCTGCACCTCTCGAATGGACAGTTGATGATAGCCTTTATGAATATCTTGACTTTGTTGATGCAACTGACAGATATGGGAATCTTTGGATCTGGAGTTATTTGGGTGCCTCTGGAGGAGCCTGCAGTATTGCTATACTTGTGGATCAGTTGAATTGCTTCCTCAATACTGAAATCTCCCGTCTTGCTGTTCATTTCTATGGCTATGCCCTGCTGATCACACTCACACTGCTTGTCAGCGTCTTTTTTCCCATACATGTTTCTAGGAAAACGGAGCACGTGAACAAAACTGTCAAAGCACTGAACCTCATTGGAAGTGATGGTCGAACAATTCTGTCAGCTGTCACAGTCTTCTTGACCGGGGTCATTGGATCTACGGTACAGAACTTTCTCTTCTGGCAGATGCAGGACCAGGGCAGCAGGGAATTATACATGGGTCTCTCAGTGGCAATTGGACTAATTGCTGAAATTTTGCTGCATTTCTTCAAAAGCAGGTTGCTAAGGACTCTGTCAAGTAGTGGCACTGTTGCACTGAGTTTAAGTTGCCTTGCACTACAACTTCTGTACTATTCGTTCCTATGGAATGCATGGGCAGTTTTACCTATTCAGATTTTATCTGCCTTCAGTAATGGTTCGTTATGGTGGGCAGTTAACATGATGGTTGATGATGTAGCCACTCCTGGAACAGAAAGAGCTCTGCACATTGTCCTCCAAGGCCTCTCCTATGGTTGTGGAGCTAGTCTGGGAAGTTTCGCAGGAGGATTTGTTGTGAGCAATTTTGGCTTGACAGTTCTATACAGGGCATGCTGCATAAGTTTGATACTTTGGTTAATCTTGTTCCTTATTGTCCAATCCAAGCTGCCTCGGCAGAAAAAAATTAATTATTCTCGTCTCCTAGCTGCAGATCTCAGTGACGTGAGCGATTCTGATGAGGAACGAGAAAGGGACTGGCTGGTGAAAGCTATGAAAGATGAGCATTTCAGTAGGAATTGGTAACTTTGCACTTGATCTGTAATGGAACAAATTCTGAGTACAAAGATTAAACTGCTGGATGGCAAGGAAAGAAGTACCTAGGAATGGCTAGTAATTTTTAAATAATGGAATATACAGTGTACATATCTGCAACAAAAGCCATGTATAAAGACCACATTTTATAAATTGTTTATTTTCTTAAGATTAATTTATAGCAAATATTTGTAAGAAGTTTTTGCTTTTTTAACTTAATGATTCAATATCCAGAATTTAAAAGGAAAGGATTTTGAGATGAATGCTAAAATGAAAAAGACAAATGTGGATGTTAGCTTCTTATCTGAAGTTTACAAAGCTGGAATCTATACTTTAGCACAGGTGACTTGTTTTTTTTAATGCTTATGCACTAAGGCTGCTGACAGACATGAAAAAAAGCTGCACTTTCCTGGAAGAGGCAACACATTAGTATGACCAGGCTCTGCAGCATCTGAATAGATCACGTGCTTCAGTAGGGTGGGGTTTGGTACTTTTATCTAATAGCTGATTCATTCAGCTATTAAATAAAAGCACAAAAAAGCCCCAGTAACCACCTGTTCTATACAGATGTTGGGCAAGCCGGGTCCAACTAACATGGTGCCTCTTCTGGGTGTTGGTTTTGGCATGGAGCGCACAGAGTTTAAAGTGCTGTTTTGGAGTGTGGGGGGGTTACATCTGTAAGCAGCCTAATATTAATAAGATGCCATTTCAGTGAGACTCACTTTTTATTGACCACAGACTATTAATGAAAGAAATGTCCGACTTGTTTTATTCTGTTTGGGACTCTAAAATCAATCTCACTGCAGATTGTACACTTTTGGGTTTAGGTGATGAAGGCAAAGCTGACAAGCCATTGTGCTTCCTATTAATCAACCATTTTTTAAAGTGGTGTCTGGGACTGTGCGCCAGATATTGGCTCCTTCTGCCCCCAAAGCTTCCTATAGATCTTCCTTATAAATAACATTATCTACAAAGACTGCAGGTACCCAGAATGCAATACCATATCTTGGTTTGAATAGCCTCTGTTTGAATCAAAATAGAATGCTGCATACTGGGAACTTACATGATAGGATATTAGTTGGCCTAGCTGCTCCCACTGAATTTGATGGGTCTTTTGAATTCAGAGAAAGCAGACTTAAATTGTCAAGTTTGGTGCTCTTGACAAGTTGCCCCTTGAGAAAGTTTGGGTAACTTGTATATTTAAATACACTCCACTAGCTATATCCTGTCCAAATGCATTTATAGTTCCTTGGGGTCAGTAACTCAGTTTAAAGTGTCCCCTACATTTGTCTAGTTACCTCAGAAGTATGGATTCCAACATATTTGAAGATTTGACTGACCTTGCCAGAAAATTCATGATGGACCTTATAGGATGAATAGATCATGAAGTTTTATTGTCCTTCTGGCTAAGATCAGGCATTTATTGCCAGTTTAAGAAATGCTTACTCTTTGGAGACTCTTCCTGTCTTGAAGGATGATGGAACTGAATACCTAGTGGGTGGCCAGCTGAGGGGCAACTGCAAGCAAAAGGATTAAATATTTAGTGCAGGTATATGCACTAGAAGTAAGGCTTGTAAAAGACCTGAAAAGAGTATGCATTTGGCATAGTAAACATTTTACCTGTTACCTTCCTAATTCAGTAGAAAGTGGCAGGGAACCAGCAACAGGGAAGGTGATACCATTAAAAGGTAATTTATGGCTGTTACAATTTATCTGCATGCCAGATAATTTCAATTTAGTTTAACTGTCTGCACTTCCTGGCATAAACCTACTTCACCATGAAGAATACTTTACTAGAATTGTTCTATAGATAGAATTATTATACTGCGAAAAACAATTTAAGCTTTTTTTTTTTTTTGATAGGCAAGATAATATTGCCACCTTGTAGGAATTCAAACAGAACAAGCTGAGAACAGTTTTGGTGTCAAAAGAATTGGACTTCAGTCCAATCTATCATATAATACTTTGCCATTGAAAGGTAATTGGTGACACTTAGCAGTTTTGGCTGAGGGTTTTTTAATTAAAAATATGTATCCGACTCCAGCACTGTTTTTTGAAGGACAGTGTCATAGGCACCCAGATATAGTTTGGAAATAACTAGGTAGGTAGTATTTGGTCCAAAATTGGCCCAAATCTTATAATCAGTAGATACTTGTATCTTTAAAATCTAGTGAAAATACTTGTTTTTTTTCTAAGAGTTTGAAACCTAAATTTTAAATGCACAGAATTAATCTGTAAGTGAAACAGATACAGCAGGCTTGTATTGAAGCAGAAATTGTACTGATTTTACTATCTGTTTTTTTTAAGTATGTGCAACAGCTTTTTACATAGAATGGTATCACATTACAGAGTACTTTGTGCTAATTTAAATAGTATAGCACCATCTTACTTTGTTTTGGGAGTGTTCATGGGGCTGCCCAAATTTAGCAACGTGGATTTAACAACATGGAATAACAACTGATTCCTATGTGCAGACCTAGACTTTCAGAATAAAAGAGATTTTACAAACTGAGATGAGGACTGTTAAAAGTAAAAAAATAAAGGGTTTGAATGTCCAGTAAATTGGATATCTAAACTATTTTCACTTCATCACAGACCCAGTAGCAGTAATAGTAAAACAAGTTTGTCTACAACACATAATTACAGTGTGTTGGAGCAGGCTTATGTTCTGGACTTAGGTGATAACTTCCTGCTACTCTGGCTCATCTCTGTCATTCTCCATTTCTCCTTTCTGTGCTAGGTTTTATGTGAACTGTCCCAGCCCTAATGAAGAGAAATGAGGGTCTGTGTGAAGAACAGTGGGATATTCTGCCCCTCAGTGACTCATGTTTTTACAGCAGCCAGCAGATTAGATTGAGTTGTCTTTTACATTCACTTAACACTTCCTAGTGTTTTAGCTGTGATTTCCCTTTGCTGTAGAGGGTCTCCCTCACAGCTTTGGTATTTTTTTTAATAAGTATAAAACATATTAAGGCCATGAATACCATTGGGACTGCAATAAAAATGCAGAGAAACCAAAGTGCCATTAAGTCATATAAATTGTGTCTTTTAACAAAAGAAGAAACCGATGCAATGTACTGATGTATTTCCAAGCCCAGCTGTGTCAATTACATAGAGTTGGATCATTTAATATATGCTAATGCCAAAAAGCAGTAGTGAAAAACTTCTGCAAAATGCTTCTCTGTTGTATTATTTTTTTTAATCTTATAAGGCAGTGGGTGTGTGGAATAAGTAACTGTAAAGCTCTGGAGCAAACTTCTACCATTTACTTCTAAAACTATTTTTTTCTCTCAGTTGGAGAGTTGAGCTGGGTGCTGTCCTTCTTACATATCACCATGCTTTCTAATCAAGCATTTATATTTTTAGTGAAGGGAATGACTGTAATTATGAACACTTTTGGAACTGATAGATGAGAAGGAAGAGACTTCAGCCCCCAGCGTAACTGTGCCGGTCCTACAGGACTAATGGGAGTAGAAGCATAAACACTGGCTTTTCTGCTTATGTCTGTATTAGAAAGCTTGCACTAGTATAACTAAGTCAACTTGAATCATTGCAAGCCCCTAATAAATAGTTGAAACCAGTTTAAATTGTGCTTTAATTGGTTTAAATGCATCTATATGAGAAGTTTGTATTGCTTAAATTGGATCAGGTTTAGTGGACAGTGCCTCTGTTACCAAAATTACCAGATCAATTAAATAAGTGTCATTTTTACATATTCACTTTTCTGGCCATAACTAAACTATAAAACAAGCAGAATGCTGTCATTCTGATTCAGCTAAACCAGAATCTGGAATAACTGACTTCATTATCTCCTTTATTTGTTTTTTTATCACCGAAACCACAGCCTTGTGCAACATTTCCATTCGTGTTTTATAAAAAAAAAAAATGACTTGTAACTAGGACTGTGGAAAGCAGTATGTTCATTTTACAGTAGGACTGTGCAGACTTTTTCTTCCAGTTCTAGCCATGGGAGTGGTTCACATCCTCTTGAGTGCTGCTTGGAGTTTAAGATTCCAGGAGAACCACTATTTCTAAGCACAAGTTGTATGAAACAAGCAATCCAGTGAAATTGCAATTTCCTCATACGCTCCAAATGGTAAGAATCATCCTAGGCTGAACTTCCGGAGACATAGGAATCACTTCTAAGTGTTCATGGAATTCAACAAATCTTTCCATAAAGCTGATTTCATTGTTTAGTTAGTAATGAAATATAGTCAGGTGAATTTCTAGAGAGGATTTTGGTGTTTGCATTAAATGCTTGGCCATACTTCGAAATAAATAGATCTCATCTAGTCCTTTTGTTAGATGGTTCAATTTAACATGTATTTTTCCAAGAATGGTAAGGTTATTATTTTAAGTAGCAGTACATGACAAATAGGAATCTTTGCAGGTACCAAATCTTAAAAATGGAACTTTCCTGAATCCAGACCTCTTTTGTGATAGACCATAATGTTCATAATGTTTTGAACATTATGTATATTGTCTTACTATTGCTAAGGCTTTCCATACAATCCAGCTGTAAAAAGGCTCGTTTTTTTGGTGGGGGGAGGTTGCTTTGTGTTTTTGAAATCTGTACTGTCCTGGGAGTTTGGATGATGCATTCTAAATCAGATTGCAGTTTTTGGAATCGCAGTGTTGCAGAGTCTCTTGATAGAACCTGCTGCAGCCTTTTAAAATCGATCCATCCTCAGCTGTCCTTTCTCAGGGTTTTCAGCTGTGCAAACCAGTGTAGTAGGTGTTGGGGCTAATCCTGTCTATTTGGTTCAACATTCTAATGAGAAGATAACATTGGAGGTATAGGAAAAGAAAAATGACTATTTTATGATCCAGCTATTATGGAAATAGGAATTTGTATGTGATTTGATCAATCATATGAAGAATTTGGTAAATGCTTTTATTTAGCAAAGTGGCTCTCATTTGCACCTGCAATCTAATTAGTTAATTGGCTTTATATTTTACTATTGCTATTGACCTTGGCTGATTTAAGCCAGGAGTGGTGGAATTGATGCCACAAGTGCCATAACAGCTGCTTATAGAAAGACACCAAAATGGAGATAGAGGCTC